ATTGATTGTTGGGTACCCGCCACCATGCTGGTCAAGTACTTCTCACACAACTAGTAGAAACAATAAGCTACTAGGAACAAGTGCATCGCTAGTAGTAACAAGTGCCTTACTTGTAGTAACAAGGACGCCAGTAGAAACAATAATTAATTAAAAACAATAACCTACTAGGAACAAGTGCATCGCTAGTAGTAACAAGTGCCTTACTAGTAGTAACAAGGACGCTAGTAGAACAAGTAATTAATTGGCTTACTCTTCTGATGATATATATTGGATCCCTAGATCTAAAAGACCCCCTGAACATTGTGGCGTATGTTAATGGACATGTTTCTGTTGGTCGACCTTGGAACGAATTCTGTCCGTTTTGGTTTTGCCGGGTCCACAGAATCATGGTTCAAGCTGGGGCCATTGCGGGGTCCACAGTCAGGGGCTGCAGGGCAGCGGATGAACATCCACGAAATGGGTAATTATTGATTGTTGGGTACCCGCCACCATGCTGGTCACAGGACTAGTAGAAACAATAAGCTACTAGGAACAAGTGCATCGCTAGTAGTAACAAGTGCCTTACTAGTAGTAACAAGGACGCCAGTAGAAACAATAATTAATTGAACACAATAACCTACTAGGAACAAGTGCATCGCTAGTAGTAACAAGTGCCTTACTAGTAGTAACAAGAAGCTAGTAGAAACAATAAGCTACTAGGAACAAGTGCATCGCTAGTAGTAACAAGTGCCTTACTAGTAGCTTATTGTCTCTACTAGGAACAAGTGCATCGCTGGTAGTAACAAGTGCCTTACTAGTAGTAACAAGAAGCCAGTAGAAACAATAAGCTACTAGGAACAAGTGCATCGCTTGTAGTAACAAGCTAGTAGAAACAATAACTAATTAGAGACACTAAGCTACTAGGAACAAGTGCATCGCTAGTAGTAACAAGTGCCTTACTCGTAGTAACAAGGACGCCAGTAGAAACAATAATTAATTGAAAACAATAACCTACTAGGAACAAGTGCATCGCTAGTAGTAACAAGTCCCTTACTGGTAGTAACAAGGACGCTAGTAGAAACAAAAATTAATTTAAAACAATAAGCTACTAGGAACAAGTGCATCGCTAGTAGTAACAAGTGCATCGCTAGTAGTAACAAGTGCCTTACTAGTAGTAACAAGAAGCTAGTAGAAACAATAAGCTACTAGGAACAAGTGCATCGCTAGTGGTAACAAGTGCCTTACTAGTAGTAACAAGAAGCTAGTAGAGACAATGAGCTACTAGGAACAAGTGCATCGCTGGTAGTAACAAGTGCCTTACTAGTAGAAACAATAAGCTACTAGGAACAAGTGCATCGCTGGTAGTAACAAGCTAGTAGAAACAATAACTAATTAGAAACACTAAGCTACTAGGAACAAGTGCATCGCTAGTAGTAAAAGTGCCTTACTAGTAGTAACAAGGACGCTAGTAGAACAAGTAATTAATTGGCTTACTCTTCTGATGATATATTGGATCCCTAGATCTAAAAGACCCCCTGAACATTGTGGCGTATGTTAACGGACATGTTTCTGTTGGTCGACCTTGGAACGAATTCTGTCCGTTTTGGTTTTGCCGGGTCCACAGAATCATGGTTCAAGCTGGGGCCATTGCGGGGTCCACAGTCAGGGCCTGCAGGGCAGCGGATGAACATCCACGAAATGGGTAATTATTGATTGTTGGGTACCCGCCACCATGCTGGTCAAGTACTTCTCACAGGACTAGTAGAAACAATAAGCTACTAGGAACAAGTGCATCACTAGTAGTAACAAATGCCTTACTAGTAGTAACAAGGACGCTAGTAGAAACAATAATTAATTAGAAACAATAAGCTACTAGGAACAAGTGCATCGCTAGTAGTAACAAGTGCCTTACCAGTAGTAACAAGGACGCTAGTAGAAACAATAATATATTGGGAACAATAAGCTACTAGGAACAAGTGCATCGCTAGTAGTAACAAGT